ACTTCATATTGTAGCTAAACGAGTTAAATGAAATGGTTATTTCATATTGTAGCTAATCAAGTTAAATGAACTGGTTACTTCATATTGTAGCTAAACGAGTTAAATGAACTGGTTACTTCATACTGTAGCTAAACAAGTTAAAGGAACTGGTTACTTCATATTGAAGTTAAACAAGTTAAATGAAATGGTTATTTCATATTGTAGCTAATCAAGTTAAATGAACTGGTTACTTCATACTGTAGCTAAACAAGTTAAAGGAACTGGTTACTTCATATTGTAGCTAAACGAGTTAAATGAAATGGTTATTTCATATTGTAGCTAATCAAGTTAAATGAACTGGTTACTTCATACTGTAGCTAAACAAGTTAAAGGAACTGGTTACTTCATATTGAAGTTAAACAAGTTAAATGAACTGGTTACTTCATGTTGTAGCTAATCAAGTTAAATGAACTGGTTACTTCATATTGTAGCTAATCAAGTTAAATGAACTGGTTACTTCATACTGTAGCTAAACAAGTTAAAGGAACTGGTTACTTCATATTGAAGTTAAACAAGTTAAATGAAATGGTTATTTCATATTGTAGCTAATCAAGTTAAATGAACTGATTACTTCATATTGTAGCTAAATGAGTTAAATGAACTGGTTACTTTATATTGTAGCTAAATTAGTTAAATGAACGGGTTACTTCATATTGTAGTTAAACAAGTTAAATGAACTGGTTACTTCATATTTTAGCTAAATGAGTTAAATGAACTGGTTACTTCAAACTGTAGCTAAACAAGTTAAATGAACTGGTTACTTCATATTGTAGCTAAACAAGGATAAATAGAATTATTTGTTAAAGGTTGACTATGTAATCTTTTACTGTAAAGAATTATATAAACATTTTTATTGTTATTTAGAACTAAAACTATGTTAAACTTACAACCAGCAAAGATTTCTTTGAACTGGTATACGTATTCCAATTAGCAAAGGTGGTAATTAGCAATAATATTAGTAAAACAATAACACAAAATATAATCTGAATGGTTGTGAAAATAGAAAAGAATGTATTGAGAAAATGCTATTGGCTATTTTGAGGCAAAATGCTGTAAATAGTAAAAAATAATGACAATTTTAAGGCAACTTTTATAAATTCGCAAGATAATTTTTAATTCTGGCATATTTGTTAATGAGGTTTTTATAAATCCCTCTCTTACACCAAAGTTTCTTCTTCCATATAAACAATCGCTTCTGCGAAACTTGAGCGGAATTTCAATAAGCTAATATTTTTTAGAAATAATAAAAGAATTATACTATGTTTTTAAAAAAGAACAATTTCTCGATAGGTTGTAGTGAAATCGTCTTCAACTCAAGAAATCAAAAAATAGCTGTAAAGCAAAAGATAGATTCGCTATTCTTTGAATTGATATTATCAAACTAATCTGTATCTTCTTTCAGTTTAGAAGAACTGCTAGCAGAAAAAAAAATCAAAAAGCTTGAGGATGCAGACAACTAATTACAATATTAATTAAGTTATTGCAATTTAAGTCTGAAAAAAAAATTCAAATGCCCGTAAAAGCAAAAAAAAAAAACAATCTGCAATCTAAATAAAATAACAATTGTTTATGATATTTTCAAAGAACTTTATTGAATTTACTATTTTTAGTTGTTATTGTTGTTTTAGCGTAAAGCTACACAATGAGATAACTGCGCTCGGTCCACTACGGAAATCAAACCCTTCATTTTAACAAAGTAATTCCGTAAACTTATCACTTTTTTCATCGGTGCTAATATGAAGGGTCCGGCATGGCCAAGTGGTTAGGGCGCACGACTCGCATTCTTAGGGTCGCGGATTTGAATCCCCATCACACCAAACATGCTCGCCCTTTCAGCCGCGTGAAAATTTTGAAAATAATATATTTATATTAGCTTGTATGTTTGTTTTGAATTTCGCACAAAGCTACACGAGGGCTATCTGCGCTAGCCGTCCCTAATTTAGCAGTGTAAGACAGCTAGGCATCACCTCTCACCGCCAACTCTTGGGCTACTCTTTTACCAACGAATAGTGGGATTGTTTGTTTGTTGTGAATTTCGCGCAAAGCTACACGAGGGCTATCTGCACTAGCCTAATTTAGCAGTGTAAGACTAGAGAGAAGGCAGCTAGTCATCACCACCCACCGCCAACTCTTGGGCTACTCTTTTACCAACGAATAGTGGGACTGACCATAACATTAAAACGCTCCCAATTAATTAATTCTTCTCAAACAATTTTATCCCCAGCATTTTCAATCAAATGATTGGCTTGGCCTTGATAGCTTCCAGCCATTCATAACTTTTCTTGAAATACTCAGAATCACTAAGTCAATATTAACTTGTCAAACAATGACGTCATTAAAATGAATTAGTTGTTGTGTAAGGCCCATCCACGAGAATTTTTAACGTATAGAGGACTTTAATCGTCAATAAAACTTTAAGGCGCTCTAGTGACAACAGTATAGCTCATTAAGAAGCAGTCAAGAAGCTTCGCAACTCAGCTTTAAGAATTACTAACCCTCTAGTTTTTAAATTACAAGTAAAAGTGACAAATTATATCAGACAAATATATTTGTTTTTGTCATGGGATCAGGTAAATCTAAAGTACACTCTTCATTTCGAATGAAAACTGTGGGTCCAATATCTTCAGTTGAAGCCTTAAGTCCTAAAAAGGACAGCAAGAAGTCCTTGAAAGACAAACTGGAACGATCAGACTCAATAACAGACTTCCTACTTAACACTACTCTCCATGGCGCAAACCACATAGGAAGATCAAGATCCAGATGTCAACGTTGGTTTTGGTCACTTGTCCTGACTCTATGCCTGATAGGTTTTGTTGCTCATTTAATCGATTTAGTTCAACAAAAGCTGAGATATACACATATGTACACCTCTATCACTATTATGGACGATCTACGTCGAGCTGAAGATGCAGACTTGCCTCAGTATCCGGCAATAACATTATGTACTCACTCACCATTTAAAACGAGTAAGTAGTTATAGTGTTGTTGTTGTTGTTGCTCTATTGAGCAATAATCAAGAAACAGAGCTTGTTAAGCGTAGTCAGCTAGCAATATATACTTTAATTATAACTATTCTTAATGTTGTTATTTTCCCCGTTTTAACATTAACAGTAATATGCCTCAGTTCTCTACAACAATACTATTTAGTCGCCGTGTCTTTCATAAAAATAAAAACGCTATAATGCTATTAGTTTCCTATTTAAAGATAGTTAAAACATAACTTCTTAGTTTCTCATATTTTATATAAGTTGTTCTCTCTCTGAATTGTGATAAAGGGACGGAAGTTCTAAAGCATGACGCACCTGAAAATTTGGCAGCATTTTGAAGTACTTACAATGTTGTTATTTACATCAAGATCGATGATTAGAAAGTATTAAATATTAAGCTCTAATTAACTTAAATCAAAATTAAAAATATACCCCATAAAGAGTATAGGTAATTAAGTATTCTGCTTAAACTGTATTATTTATAGTGGTTGGAATGGATTTTTATATCAGTTGAGTACCCTCATTGTTAACGATGTTTTCGGTCGTAAATCCAGTAATGTCTCTTGAGATTAGTCCGATCTACGAAAGTAAGATTAACTTTAAATCCATACTACTTAATACTACTTAAATCATCGTTAGTAAAAACTGAAGAAAAAGCAAAATTTAATAACCTAGCCATCTCAAGATTGTCAGATACAAGTCATTCTTTATCATCTCTCATGGGTCCTACTCCATCCTCACATTTTGTTTATCCTTATTGTATTTAAAGATATCCTTATTGTCAATTTTACATTTTCAGCCAACCTTTTCTCGCACATCCTTTTTGATGTCCTAATTTCCTGTTTCACCAACTTTCTTGATCTTCTATAATATTCTAAATTTCCTATCATACCATTCAATTTAAATTTCATTAATTTTATCTCTTATACTCTTTTTGAGCCAACCTGGTATAGCTTATTTTGCCTGGAGGTAATGCATTTCATTGCAAAGATTCCAATGATATTCATTTACGTCTTTTGCAAAATATAGTATTGAAAATCTCAGCACATCGTAACATAAAAGAAGGACTGTTAAGTGGTTGGTATAAACAAATGTAACTTTCCTTTTTTTAAAGCACCCACACTGATCAGCATTTCACTGAATAATAAGCGAAACATTATTCGCACTGTATCAGAATAATGTTATGGACAGTGTTAATTTTACTTTTATTATACGACAGCATAGTGATATATATTTTAATCATTCTAAACATTGGTTTTTTATCAGAAGGACATTTTGAAATTAAGTTAGGGTTTATGCAGCTGAGTATAAAAACTGGGTACAGATGTTCTTCGCATATGCTTTATACATATTAAGCCACATTGGAGCGGTAAGTATCCAATACTAATGAAAACTTCTGTTTGTCTGTGGACGTATCTCTTCCTAAATGAGTGACCGATCCAGACCAAACTTGGCATGCTAACTTAGTAGTCCAAAAGAAAACCAATTTCATATTAAACTTTCCCATATATTGAAATATAAAAATATTTTATAGAATAACCCCTATATCGTTACTGCAGTTGCTATTATAAATAGTTGAGTTTGAACAAAACTCATACCACACCAAAATTATATAATTCAAAGATTGTAAATAGAATTTTCAGCATTTTGGCTTGTTTTCCATAATAACTAAAATATACAGTAATATAACATCCAGCTACAAAACGGATCTGCGTCTGTCCTGGGTCAGTGTTTGGTCGTGTTGTGCTTTGTAGCGACCTGGGAGGATCAGGAGCTTTCTAGACCTATTCCTACCTCCTTGACTATTTTTTAAACTGACAAATGGTACACGATTAAGTCACGAGATTAGCGCACAGATATCAAGATTAATTGCACTAATCTTCTTAGTCTCTTCAGGTCCATGTCCATGAATTTTAAACTTATAGCATTTAGTGCTATTCACACTTCACTTAGTTTGATTCACTGGTAAACGTCACTCTTCATTAGATCAATTTATCAGATGTGTATTTTATACAAATACACTTTTGATACGTTAATCTAGGTGACTTGCTTCCTGGATATTACTGTATATATAAGGAATTATAGGTATGAAATGTTTCTTAGCTATTTAGATTAGTAGAGTAATACTACCTTGCTTATATTAATATTCTCTGATGAAATCTATAAATGTGTTTTTGACTCATTCTATTATAGGGTTATTTTCTTTATTTGAAGGTAATGTTACTGGTGTTTTTGGTATGTCTAAGAGCGGGATATTGGATGGTTGAACATTTCTTTGATTTTTAGTTCTGTAAGATTGTTTCCCAGTAGTTCTTTGCAAGTGTGACTGTGTTTCTTTATTTGGATGAGATACTTGTTTACTGTGTGGTTGGGAGCGTATTGCTGCTGCATAAATATATAAAGGTGTAGGGTGTTTCAATGAAGTTGTGGGCTGTGTTATTGGTGGTAGTGGTGTTTTTATGGTTGATTTTTGTGCGTGATTTATTTCCATGTATTGTGTATTTGTTTCTGTGGTTTTGATGTTATTGTGTGTTCTAAATTTGTGTTTTGATGTCCTTGTATCTTGGACATCCTTTGTAATTTGCGGTGTGTTGTTGCTTAAAATTACAGCACATAGGGTTTTCATGCTCTTTAGGACAAACTGAATTATGGTGGTCTCCACCACAGCCCACACATCGTGACATCGTGGGAGAGACTTACAGGCTTCTACGACGTTACCATAACGTTGAAAATTAAAACATTGAGTTAAGACCACGGCAGGTGTTTTAAATTCTTCTACCTGAAATCTCTAATACCAGAGAAAAATACCGTTAGGTATTAGACGCCGGACATGCTGTGTTTCATGTACGTGAACTTTTATCGTTTAAGTTTGTCTTTCGGACATCCTGTGATTCATCTACGTGAACTTTTATCGTGTTAGTTTGTCTTTCGGACATCCTGTGATTCATCTACGTGAACTTTTATCGTGTTAGTTTGTCTTTCGAACATCCTGTGTTTCAAGTACGTGAACTTTTATCGTGTTAGTTTGTCTTTCGGACATCCCGTGTTTCATGTACGTGAACTTTTATCGTTTAAGTTTGTCTTTCGGACATCCTGTGTTTCATGTACGTGAACTTTTATCGTGTTAGTTTGTCTTTCGGACATCCTGTGTTTCATGTACGTGAACTTTTATCGTTTAACACAGGATGTCCGAAAGACAAACTTTCATGTACGTGAACTTTTATCGTGTTAGTTTGCCTTTGTGTTTTATTTGAAATTATTCGGTCTGTTTTGAGTAAGAAATGTTGTTTTGTGCAAGTTTATTCTGAATCTGTTCATTTTCAATACTGAAATGTATTCCTTTGATGATAAATGCTTTCACATTGGGCTTTGTTCCTAGTAAGTGTATTTTGATATGTCCTGACTCGAAGGCACCTTGAGGCCATTCTATTTAGGTCAGCCGCATTAGCTACCCTCAGCTAAATGTTTAATTGATGTTTATCAGCTTGCAGCGCTTGATTTCAGCTGTCGAGAGTGGTTCTTTTTGTATGTACTCGGAATACCTTCGATAATGACTGAGTAGTTGTGTGTGTTTTCTGTTTTCCTGTGATTGTATGTTTATGCTTTTTTCGTGTGTGTTTTGATGATTTTTGTTGTCTTATTGATGTTATTAGTGTGAAATCGTCTGTTTCTGTGTGCGTTTCTGTTATTACATGTGCGTTTCAGTATCTAGTGATATTGTTGTCTGTGTTATTGTTTGTTATTTTTGGTAGTTGATCTACTATTTGTTTGTCATTTAGACTGTCTGTAGTAGCATCAGCTATTTCAATAGCCGTGCTTTTACTTTCTTCTCTTTGTATGCTATTTCTGGTGAGCTAATTTGGCTATTAGTTTTGACTTCCTAAAGAACTTCCTCTTATTCTACTACCAAATTCACCCATACCAGACTTTCTTAATTTCTTGGAGGAAGAGGCCATATACCGGGTTATATACCGCCTTGATACATGTTATTGTTTTCTTGTTCGTAGCGCCTTGATTCATGTTATTGTTTTCTTGTTCGTAGCGTCTTGATATATGTTATTGTATCCTTGTCCTCTGAAGAAGCACTGATTAATTTCTTTTGTTTCACTGTCTTGTTCGTTAATATTAAAAACCGATTTCTAAGTCTTTGCCTTTCCGTCCTAGGCAGATCAGGAGAGAGCCACTAATTCCCTGGTAGTCGGTTTGTTGGACAATCCAGATAACCAACGTCTTGTCTTTTCAACACGTAGAGCGGGAATAGAATGCGGATACTAAAGATATTGGTGCTAAGTTTCTCATTCTTTTCTGATTCACACCATCTTCCGGTTCATACTAGGGTTAGAATAAGAGCTAAAGCCTCAATTAGAGAAGTATTTCACAATTTAAATATTTTCAGGATATTTCTTACTTCTTGATGTAGAATACAATTTTCCGTTGAAGCAAAATTCAAGATTATTATTAAATTAAATGCATTAAATATACCCAATTCAGACAGTAGAAATCTTAACCACATCTCTACTGTGAAATGGGCTGCTCTGAACAAAGAAGTAACGCAAATACTTTGCAATTTCTGCCAAGTTTCTCGACTCGACTGCTACATCTACTCACTTCCGGTCCACGTACCCTGTCTTACAACAATTTTCTTGGAGAATAATCGTTACTGAAAATCCTCGCAGATATTTTGCTAATTTTTAGGATATTGTGTGCGTTTCCTGCGTTTTCAAAAGAAAGATGTTGGAGGAGTGCAATCTCCTTAAAATAACCCGCAAAACTGTTAATGTAAGACTCTTATAGTATACTACAAAAGTTTCAAAAAGAAAGTCCATTATGGACTGAAAGTTAATTTTTACTTGTAGAATTTCACCAGATCTGTCGAGCTTCCATCAAGGGCAGAGCTGGGTGTGCCTCTCAAAAATTAGTGAAATTATACATCTACTTAAACACATAAGTAAGTTGTAGTTGTAACTTATATCTTAATG